AATAATTCACTCCCATCTCCGAAAAACTTTCGACATTTTATATATTCCAGCGAATTTTTAAAAATGGTTACAGCAGCCTCTGAATCTTGTTTTTATTGCTAATCTTCCTTTTCAATTTAATTTTACGGTTATTCCCAGCCCTTTTCCGTGATTCGTGAGAGCGTCGATGACATAATGTGTTTCTAAATTAATGTGTAAATTTCTAACTTTTTCAAGTGTTCCATTGTCAAATTACGAGGACTTGAAAGATGCTCTTATTTCCGGAGACCACGTGTTCACCCAGTCGGAAGTGAGCGCTTGCGAAGGCGAAGATCTCGGATTTGCCAGGTTAATTAACGCTCGAAGTGTAATGGACACTTGGGAAATCACTAATGAAGGTGATTATATAAATTTTGGATTATTATTTATACATATGGCATTTTTTATTTATTTTTTCCATCTAGGTTTGCCCAACGAGACGCTGAGGATGTCGTATGACGTCTGGGTCGATTATTACCTCACTGAGGCCGAAGTCGGGGTTGAGAAAATTGTAATTACCGTTTTGCCAGATGGTAACATTAATTACATGCCAATTATTTTCGACTTGATCACTTGGGAAGATGGATTCACAACCCCAGAAGTCGGTTTTCAGTGTCAGCTTGGAGACTCAGTCCGAGCCTTCAAAAGAGCAGCAGGCAAGGCGAAAAAAAACGCACATTTCTTTTCATCAATCAGAAATAGCTGAAAAAATGAAAATGTTTATAATTAAAAACATGAATATGTGCAACTCGATTACTTAAAGAACCCCTGAGTGATGATCTGAAATCAGCCTATTTCAAAAATAATCATTCCTCGTCTTTATTCAGACGTCACAAAAATTTTAAAAATTTATTGCACCTTATATTTTTTTGGTATTGTTATCCAAAAACTATTTTACGGAAGTTGGTGATCAACGATGATCAGTTGTTGGGAACCACTTCCTAATAATTAACGGAAAGAGGGATTGGAGATTTAATTTGTTTTCCGCAACTTTCAAAGGAAACGCAAAAGTTACTCCGTGAGAGTATTTCAAATGATTCTTTATTTATCTTCACACAGTCAATACAATATTTTCTACCAAGAGCAAAGCGGCGTAGATTTGGCGTTTGGACAAGGTCTGGTGCAGTAAACTTAATGCAACATAAAATGAACCTGTATATATAGCTTTGGCCAGCCGAGGTCAAAGAATGCGCATAGAAACCAATTTGGACCAGGGACGTCATGCTTCATTTATTTAAAGGAAGGAAGCGTGAGCGTGGTCAGAAAAGTATTCCATCAACAACGGGATTGTGAAATATAATTGCTAGCGCACCAGGCGCAGCCAAACGTAGCGGAAATACATTAGCTTACAAGGGTCGTGCGTAATGATTCCTCAGTTCACCTTACACCCCCTTTCAGGTATGTGCTCTTGACCCCCTTAAGCCCTTAGATAAAAAACCACTAAGTTAAATTTTGCTTGTTTTGCATGTTTTTTTGCTTGATCTTAGTCTTAAGTGTTACTAAAACACATTCTCATTGTTTTTGGGTGCTTTCTATTTGGTTTGGAGGGTGAATTTTGCGTTTTTGTCCACAAATTTTGTACGCAGAGATATGACGTAACAATCAATTTTTGCGCAAAACCGGGACATATATCAAAAAGGTAAATGGTTTGTTTATTTCTAGGTTGAGTGAACAAGATTTCCTGCAAGTTTCGTCAAGTTTCACCGCTTGGTTTCCGAGATCTCAGCAAAAAAGGTATTTTCCCTTAGACTCCTTAACAAAATCGGATCAGATCTGATCCAAGTGCATCTTTCTGAACTTTCAGATTTAAAACACAAAAATGGCAAGTTTTGCAGTGACGTTCCTGTTGATGTTGCTGGTGGTGCATCCCAATGCGTCATCCGGCAAGTGTGTCGTCCAAGATGGCCACCTTCATTGTACGGAAGCGTGTGATTTGGATGCAGTTCGGGTGCCCAAATTCAAGGGCAGGATAGTTCTGACTGGTCCTGTCTTGGACTTTGGCTGCTTGACTTTCTTTGGTATCAAGGTGTGTTGCGAGAGGGAATTTGTCGGGTTGTTTCGTTTAGTTTTTGCTGAATATATTCAGATCGTGGAGCTGCTGAAGCCGACTCAATGTGAAGGGGTCTTCATAGCCTCTGCTGTTGATCCGGCTGATTTTTGCAATGGATACGTTTCGGGAGTGAGTCCAACGGAAGTCATCTCCATGTTTCCAACATTGACGATGCCGACGACAATTTTGATGTCAATTGTCTCAACAACTGTGGCACCGACAGCGGCAACATCTTTGTTTTCCACAAGGGCGGCTACTTCCACACCGACGCTGATCACCGAGTCAGTCACACCAACAGTGGCTGGTGTCTCTCCGTCAGCGTCTACAACAGAAACGAAAACTATGACCAACCCTGGTAAGGGATCATAGACATCTCCAGAGAGTTCCGTAAACTAATTCTTTGTCTTTTGCAACTAAATAGCAACCAAGCCCTCCATTTTGATATATGTTTTGAACAACTTCTTGGATATTCCTGAGACAACGCTTTTCACCGGGGTATGTGCTAACATTACTTCAACAGTTGTGGAAGGGAAAGCTGTCTTGGGTGCAGAATTTTCAACGGAGGTCCTGTCTAAATGGGCAGTTGGGCTAATCAGCGGTCTAAGCCTGACTGTTTTTGGGCTGGCTTTTGGATGGTTGGCTCACTGCTTGAGGAAGAAGGTACTTCCTATTTTTTCTTTATCATTTCTTGTTGTTTTAAAGCACGCTCTTTGCATGGTACCTTTTCTTTTGATCACCTACCAATAACTAACAGTATTGCCCAAAACCACGTCAAAATAAAACTGAAATCGAGATTGAAGAAATCAAGATGACCAATTTAACTCCTAAACCGTTTGTGCATGAGTCTATGGTAAATGAAATTCATGATGGTTTTGCAACCATAAGGTCGCGTATACCACGCATGACCTCCTTTAAACCAAGGAAGACTTAGCCTGTTGATATTTTCCGATTTTGCATGACTGCATGGCTTTCTTTGGGTGTTTCCTTTTGTCTTGTGTTCTCAGCCTTGGTTGCAGCCATTCCTGAGGTTGGTGGAGGAAGCCAGGAGGGTGCTGACGCTGCCGGTGACACCTGCGTCGTCCCTATTACCACCGCCATTGTTGGCTGAGGTGGTCACGGATCTTCTTTCCTTGGATCTCACTCCTGCGGCTCTTCCACTTCCACTTCCAGCTGTGGTTCCTGCTACGGAAGTAGCTCAAGACTCCACAATTAATGTTAGCTCTGATGACTTTGTTTTGGTCGCTGAAGAGTAGGCGTGTAACCATTAGGAGGACATTAATAAAATGAGCTTTGTACAGAGAGAAATCCGGTTTACTTTTGATTTCTCAATTGGTACTCAGGGAAAGAATTCTGGTGGAAGGGTTCATACGGATTCTGGGATATTTTGGCGCGGGTCAGGAAGGGATGGATTCAGCCACAAGTTTGACACGCGCCGACATATCATTTAGATCTATTGCTTCTAGACGCCTTCTTCTCTGCAGAACATACCGTATTCTCTCAAAACAAAAATATACAATCGCAATAAGTATAATTGTTAGTAAAATAATCAAAACAATGAGATAAATATAACCGTTGTCCCAAAAATGTAACTGTAATTTGCTAATGTCCTCAATGATTGATTTAATTCCTGGACATTAGCCGGGATCTCATTAATTGCATTTATCTCAATGTTTTCCAATCTTGGGGTCATTTCACGAAATGGCCTGTTAATCACGGTATAACGACAATTAGGTCTAAATTGAATAATACCTGAATATGGTAACTTGTAGGTATTTTCAGATGCTTGGGCGTTCACTTCAGAACAGTACTGCGTGATTTGCCCTTTGTCTGCGTCTATAAAAGCAAATTGGTCTGCATCTAGTTGTATAACTGTATTCTGTGGTACCTTAGTTTCAATTAAAGGACATTTACTTTTAATGGTGGATTCCAAATCTCCGTTTTGAATCAATTTAACACAATTGTTTGCTTCGTAAACAGGAGGTCTGGGGAATTTACAAAGTTTGCACAATCCATGGCCGTATTGCGGTAAACATAAGGGTAATTCGCTAGCTTGTAAAGCGAACATTTTAGCACCTTGGGTAAGCAAATAAGGTTCTGACAAGTTTACCTTATGCCACTTGGGTGCTCCCATGTAAGTATCTTCTGCAATTGGCACACTATGAACTTTGAACAGTTCTAACAATTCTGGTTGCCTAATTACTGGTACAATTGTTGTTATCCTGTAATTACACGTTTCATTTGTTCCACACCCGTCCATTGCTCCTATTGTCAATGGATGGGACTTAATTAATGTTAGTAATTCTTGCACAGGTGATACATAAATGGGTGGCTTATTTTCAGCCTCCAATACTTTTCCCAGTGCAGTATTTACATATTCATCATAATATAAAAATTGGGAAATTGGAAATTATGTATCCGATCAATATCTTGTAGTAAGGATGATATAACATTGTTAGCTTGATCTAGTTCCAGACCCAAACTTAACGTAAGAAACCATGAATTTGTAGAATTGAATTTGGCTTGTTCCACCCTGCTTGCTAAACTAATACTACTTTTGAAAACCTTGTTTGTGATTACTTGATATTTTAAAGAGGTCAGTAACTGGACCCTTTTCTCTTGTGCGACGGTTCTCTTGATTTCTTCTTTTCTTCTTTGCAATATGGGAAGCATTCCTGTAAACGTTGCATCTCTAGGAAAATTTCTAGGTTCAGTTTGTATTCTATGTTTTAGATTTTTGATTCTATTGTCTAAATCTGTATTCTTGGTTTTCAGCAAACTAAACAATGCACTGTCTATTGTTTCACAGGGTGGAATATTAGTCTCGACATGATTGAAAATTTTAGTAGTGATCATGTCAGATTGCTTTACCAATTCTCCTACGTCTACGGAGGATTCTAGCGTCCAATAACTATTCGGTACACATATCGGATACATTTCTTCCAATACAATGCCACCGCTACCTGGAAAGTTGCGTATGGGGGACGTTTTATCAAACCTGTTTAGGTTTGAAGACGTACCTTTGTTGTTGATGGGGATTTCCTTAATTGTGAGGGAATAGGACACATCCATGACACATATACAAATATATATTTCCACAATTTTTCTATACACTTCCATAATTCTTGTCTGTGATTTCAAACAATGTTAACCCTTTGATGGCAGACTGCGTACTGGCCATTGCACAGTTTTTTCACTCTTTTGGTGACTCAGTCTTTTTTTCTGGCCCGCTTGGCCTTGAGCAGTTCAGCCATGCGTGCCTGTTGCCTTGTCAGAGGTCGTTGCCATGAGCTTTTGGTTTCTTTCTTTCGCCTTGTTCTGGTTGGCAACACATTATCTGAGTCCAAATGACGTAGCGAGGGGCAATCCATTGGATTTAAATCCAATTTTCTCTTTCCTTTGTTGTGACTCTCTTTTTCTATTTTGTCATCTTCCTCTGCTGCTTCACCTTCCTCTTCTTCATCTCTAGACTGTGTAGACGACCTTCTATCCTTTTTCTTGCTGTCTTGTTTTTCTTTGAACTTTTTCCACTTTTCTTTGTTTTTTATCTGCCTCAGAGTTAACGCAACTGCGCCTTCTGCTTCTCCTTGCAGCGTTCTTTCAGGTGTCCTTTTGGGTGTTCTTTCACCTCTTCCTGCTGTCAGTTGCTTCATTAATTTGGGTGTACTAGAGGCAGGTGGTGGACCTTTTTGAAGGACAGTTTTGGATAGACATGGTAGAGTATCCGTCGTGGTATCAAAAAATCTTCCTATTTTGTCAGTGACTTCCCCAAATATTTCTTCAGTCTTTTGAAATAACCCTGTCTTTCTTTTGGGCAACGCGGGTATGACTGTTGCGTCTAAATCTGGCACTGACACCAAGGAATCTTCTTGTTCAGACTGTGAAGCCAATGAATCTTGTTTTCCTCTAGATTCTTTCTGCTTTTTCAGAATAGATTTAATAGCCTGTTTATCAACCGGATGTTTATGGATATTGGAACCTAGAGTTTTCCTCCTCTGTTCTCCTCCAGTAGTTGTTGTGGCTACAGCAGTTTCTTCTTCTTCTTCATCAATCTCCCACTGTTTGTCTTTGATACTCTG